TTAGCTACAATCCCAGCACTGCGGTGTGGTATCACTCCAGGTTTTTCTCTGATTTCTCATTAAACTGAGTAGTGGCAACTCGGTTTTACAGAAATAATTCTTCAAACCGGGGTAGAGAGATTCTCAAATGTGCACACTTCAAATTGACAGCTGCACGCCAGCCCTCTTTAATTCCTAGCAGAGTAAGTGATATTAATCTTCCCCTTCTTGTATTAAGGAAGCAAGGGGATTTGCCTGATGTATTTGGTGATTTTTCTTCTCATGCTAAACGTGCAGAAAGATAAATCCACTGATTTTATTGGTGCTACAAGGATTTACATTTATTTGTGAAAGAGGAGAACCAAGATCATAAACGATCTGTTCTAGTAATAAGAACCCACGATTCGTTTCCCCGGTTTGTGGTTATTTATTTCTCTCCCATTTTAGTTCAGATTTTTCAAGGCTTTTCAGAAAGACTGAATTCAGCATATCTGAGAGTTGTCAGCCCGACAGCTCTGCAGACTGTAGTCGCCTGTTTACTTTACACATGAAACAGGTGCCACCCAGGCAGTAATGCAAGCTCGCCGTATTTCAGCAGCATTGCAATCTGCTTGCTTCTCCACTTATGTGGAGGTAGGATATAAACAGTTCGGTTTTCACGATCATTTACTTCTTGGCTTCTTTGCAGAGGAAGGGTGCCAGTTGCTAGACGCAAACTGTTGCTGAGAAAGGATGCCAATTGCTACCAGGCACGTTAATTTTATGAAATCCATAGCTGTCTGCAAGGAGGAACACAAACATCAACAATTACTTTACAGAGTAAACAGTCCTCTCGTAACTATGTGTGTCACACTGCTGAGCTGGGTTTGCTATGCATGAAAAGCTCCTCAGACTCCTATTATGGTATCCAAAAACTGGCTATAGGAAGATTTGCAGGTTAAAATATGTTGTCATCCATTAAATTACTAATTGCTGCTCTATTGAGCTGCATTTCTCAAGGAGGCTCCATTTCACAGTGACAGTCCTCTGTGCTAAAGCAGCGGTATTTCTGTTGCCAGCATCCTTGTCTGCTGATGATGCTTCCTCTGACAGGCAGTGTCTCATGGTAAAGTAGGGTCCCAGCTGAATAGCCAAGTGCGTGCAGACTTTTATGTGGGGGGACCAGGACAAGCCTCCACCACTCTGAGTCTGCCCCTGGAAATGTCCTGACCATCTAATTCCTGGAACGTGATGGCAGAACCTGGAGATCCATGAAATCCCATTAGTGTCTCAAAATTGGTCTTCAAAGAAACAGGTGAACGCATAAGCCTGGTGGGGAGCAGAGAAGATACATAGGGTTGAAGCTTCCTGTTGTGCCACAGACTGAGCAAAGGGGAGTTTGTATTTGCACTGTCCCACCAGAGACAGGGGATACCCTGTACATCTCAGAAAATAACTTAAATCAACTTCATCCTGCCACATCCTTCATCCTTGCTGGCTGGTTCTGCAGTGACAGTTGCAAGGGGGAAGGGTTCCAGAGCCAGTTGCCATTTCTTGCCTCCCCAGCTGCTTCAGAGAGGAAGCTTCCTGCTATCAAAGGCTTTGCACGTCTTCTTTCCCACAACAGCCGTGGCCAGGGAATCAGGGAACAAATGTTACAAGCCAGGGTCATGATCTAGGGAGTGAGTGAAGCATCAGGAGAACCCATTTGAGCTGATCACCATCTGAAAGGCAGGTCCTGGGATCCTCTTTCTAAATTTGTTTGCACAGGATGGAAAAAATGATATTTCCGTGGGGAAGGAATAAAGTGAATCCATGCTGATGACAGGTATTTGTCTTGTTTTGCCAACAGCAAGTCCTCTTTCCAAAGGAGCGGCATTTGCACTAATCCCCATTTGAGCCTGAAACAATTAGCCGATCTGTGCTTTTCAGAGGCAGAATGCAGTGTGGAGCCTTTGTATTTATTTGTGTCAGCAAACAAGTATGTGGGTCCGTGCACAAACACACTTGAGATGTCACCCAGATTATGCTCTATTTTCAATCTGGTTGCTGTTTTTCTGGTGCTACAACTGGCCTGCAGCATGCAAGGGGACAACACTGGGTCCATCCTCCTCCATGTGCTAATTACTTGTACGGTGTCAGCAGATCACCTCTTTTTAGGGCCCACATCAGAGCAGAGGTGAGCAAACTTTTGGTTTATTCTCTAAAGGAGCTGAGGTCTGTCCTGGGCTCCCAACCATCCATTTGCACACACACAAATTTTTTATACGGCTGAATGGTTTTGCTTTATAAATTACAAAAACAACTGAATCAATAAATATTAACATAATGTGTATTGCCTTGGCAACATAGCACTTGATACAAAAATTAAAAACAAATTATATAAACCACCCACGGTGGAGAGCTTTGCAGGAGATAAACCTGCTGCCGTTGCTGCCAGAAGAACGAATCATCTGGAATCAGAACAAAAGCAAACAGTCGTAAGTTAAACAACATAAACCAAAGGCACCTTTCCTCAGACAGGTCTGTGCTGATCCTCAGGTGCTGTGTGCTAAAAATGAGACTGCTGCATCCCACGAGAGTGGCTTACCAGGGCTGGCATCAGTTGCTTGCAACAGCTCAGTTGATTCCCTAACACTCCTTTTGGGATCAGTCTATACAACCAGATTCTTTTGAAGAGTCTATTTCTCTTAGAGATTTTCTCCCACCTTAGAAATTTGCAGGACAAGTCTGAAAACACACGATGATGAACTAAATCATTGTCCGAGCACATGCGCTTGTTGTCCCCATTGGATAGTTTGCCAGGATATATTTCATCAGTTTTAATTAACTTTAACTCATCGGATACTTGGTACAAGTGTGATTTCTGGGAAGTAGCTGGGTCCATGTTTCCTGGAGTTTAGTCTCTAGGAAAGTGTTGCTAAGTCTTGGTACCACACAGCGGGGTTAGCAAATAGACAATTGGTGTACATTTGGCATTTGACTCTAGCTTAGTGCAATAATTTGCTTAACAACTTGAGTATTTGTCAGATCAACTGTGTTACACAGTCTGTTCTCATACACTGCATAGTTTTAATGAATCTGAGCGCACAACCTTTCTGCATAAATGAACCTGAGATGTCACCTCAGATTGCGTTGCACTTTTAACATGAAACAATTGTTTTTGTTGTTTTAGTGCTATAACCAATATCATGCCATTAAGATTACTTGGTACTAAGTTGTATGCACATTGCATTAAAAAAAACCCTTTTTATGGCTGAGCGCCTTACTTGGGCATACTGTACCTTCCGTGTTAGCTTCTTCCCTGAATATTACACTATTTCCAAAGATGCACCTTAAAGAGTGTTACTTTTTGACAGGGACGGAACTGTAACTCAGTGATTATGGAGCAATCTCTGGCCTGTGAAGATCAGTGCTAAACTGTGCCTAGAAATTGTATGTAATACATTCTTATGCAGAGGGTACTGGCTTGGACATGCATAATTTAATTTATTAAAGTTAGAATATATTTTAGACCACATGCCCTCTGAAGCAGGAAACAAGTAATTTGATTTTAAATTAATTTGCTAGAAACACAGAACAACATTTGAAAGGACTGGTACAAACCTGACAGTCCGAAAGTATTTATACAGAGAGCAATTTGCTTAACCAACTGCTTCCTTTGTGTCATCTGTTCTTTCAGGTAGTTATATTTGGAATAAAGTGTTTTTTTGCTCCTGGTACCTCTTGAGGGACTTCCTGTGGTGATGTGGCTTTAGAAGTGAGGCAGGTAGGCTGCGGCTCCCTGGGGAAGGGAAACTCGTTTAATACATGAATAACGTTGAATGCCAGTCAAGCCAAGGAAAAAAAAAAAAAAGGTGGACAAGTGAAAGATAAATAGGTTTAAACAATTACTGTTGAAATCCTGTTATGCTTGTAATTTTTTTCTCAGCATGGAAGTCCTTCGGTAAGCAATTCAGCACAACCCTTTGAAACTGGCTAGAGTTTTATTAATATTTTAGTAGCAGCATTAGTAATGGCATGAATGATGGTAGTGCTGTGATGAGCTATGGAGTTTTCAGAGAAATCCCAGTCTTAGGTGAATCAATAAAGCCACACTGATTTACATCAGCAGAGAACCTGGGCCTCCAGATGTAGGGACCAACCCTGCAAACACACTTTCCTCTGCCATTAGACCTGGGAGTACTTCTAGAGAGCTCAGAAGTAACAATCATCACCCCAGGAAGAAGTGGCTGGATTTAATGGCACCACTCATACTAGGAAGCACTGGGTCTAGTCAAACATGTTTGCAGAAAAAAAAATTATAGCTCTGATTCCAGAGTCCATCCCTTTTTAGTGAAGTACTTAAGGATGTGCTCTCCCTTCAACCTGCGGTTAAGTCCCGTTGGCATCAGTGGGTGCAAAGTAGACCTAAGTGTTTTGCTGAATAGGAGCCACGTACATTTTCGTGTTTACCTGAAGTTTTTCCACATCTACTTTTAGATGCTTTCTACCCCTTCCTGTGAACTTTGCATTTTTCTCCCCTTCAATGCGTATCTTGTCTCCTCTGGATGTGGATTTTTTCACACTGTTTCAAGCAGACTCATAGCACGGCGTTGGGTATTGCACTTGTGCCTTTCTCCAGCTGTAACACTGAGTATCGCTGTGACTTCAGAGTACACCCCTCGGTTATTTGAAAGAACTGCAAGCACCCTTCTGTGCGCCTTGGGTCACTGGAGAACTTGTGTCTCAGAACCATACTCAAAATGGAGATTGCAAGGGTATTTCCTCCTGCCACAGCAACAATAGCTCAAAAAAAGTTGCCTATTTATATTTCCATTTTCTACAGCCAGATATCTTAACATAACCAGTTGCTAAAGCTCAAAAGTTACAGCGTAAGCTTGTGTTATCTTGTTCCTTGCCATTTTTCCTTAAGATGTTGTCCCCTGAGAAGTATAGTCCAGGCTGTTTTCTCTTCTAGCTGGAGAGTTCTTCTTAAGAAATAAGGAAATAAGCATGCTATCAAAGAAAAAGAAAATAAACCCATCTAGGATTATTTCCAGCAGGAAAAACAGCTGCAGCCAAGGGGGCAGCGATGCCAAAGTCCAGGCGTCCGGAGTCAGAACTCTGAGATTTGTGAAGAGTTAAGTGAGTTGCACGTGGATAAGCAGTTGAAGGCTGAGCCACCACCTGCAGTAGGGCAGAAAGAGGTAACAGAAACAACTTTCCTACCTGATACTGCATGCAATTCATTGCACCAGCTCCGTAGTGCATGTCACCAATTTATGTGGGGTTTATGGCTTGTAAAAATACATGTTTGTCAAGTGGTAGGAAAGCAATAGTACGTAGTAGGTATTACAGTCTTAGTAAAGAAGATAGAGGATTTTGTTGTCATAAAAATAATTGGAAAGCTTGGAAAATGTACATTATAAATTAAGATGGGATTCCAAGAGGCTTTGAAAAAAAACATGAAATCATCTAGAATGTTACTGTCTTATTTTAGGAGCAAATGTGTGTGTTTTCCCGCTGAAAAGTAGCTCTGACTTGGCAGATCTGTACCTTGAGTTCACCGGAGGGCATCTACTATCTGTCACAGATTACCATTTCTTTTCCTGTTAGCGCATAGACCAAAGAAAGGTGCAACAATTTAAGTAGTTGACATGAAGATATTAACTAAATAGTAAGCCTTGGTATCACTCAGCTGATGTTCATCCAAGTGTAGCTCACTCATTGTTCCTCAATGTGTACCCACTGACATTTCTTTTCAATTTGTAGGATTATTTTGTCCTTATGAACAGGAATACCAAAAATACATGTCTTTGTACTGTACACTGAGTGATTCCAGGCTTTCAATTCCCTGTATCCTACTTGCTGACTTGTTGGGGTTTTTTTCCCTTCAGATTTAGCATTTTATTGACATAACATTACCTTTATTATTAGAGAGCGATGGATTCCTCTCTTTGAAATCAGGAACTGGAGGTTTTGGGTGATGTCCTGGGATTTTGGGGAACTCTATAGCTCTTTGAGATTGGAATCAGAGGTGGTTTGGGGGGACTGAATTAATGAAAGGGAAAGGATGACATAATATCGACATGCATCACACCTCTCCCAGTTCTGCTATAAAACTGCTGGCAAATTTGTGCCCAGCAGGAGCAATCCCATGGAGAAATCTTGACAGGACAACAGGAAACAGAGCCATCACAGAGCCAGAGCTCATCTCTCCAGACCTGCTGATTCATATTGTCATATGGGGTGGAATTTACTGAACTAAATGTAGACATCTGCATCTGAACTTGTCATCTGAGGTGCCTTTATAGTCAATGAGGATCTGGAGCCAATGTAGTTAGGTAAATGTGTCTCATCTCTGACTGAAATCAACATTTAAATTAGGTCAGATGAATCATCTTCTAAAAGTGCTTGTTTCTCTCCATTGACTATAAAAGGAGCCCAGGGTATCTAGATGGGTTGTACAGTTAGGTGAGAGAAATTCCACTCACAGTAACCAGAAATCCTCTAGCCATGAAGCATTTCTGTAAGGAGCAATCCTCCTTGCCAGAATATTTCTTGGCATAGAACTTCATCGTCAGAAAGAAAAGGTCCTGAGCTTTAGAGGAAGGAGACTCAAATATTTGATAACTCAGTCTCAGGAAAAAGTGTATATACATTTACCAAAGAAACCCTAAACTTTAAAATGATGAGATGAAACATTATAACTAGGAGGAATTAGAAGACTGTTTCAGGAATTACTCTCAGGGGATTAGGTATCCTTCATGTTCAAATGTCTTTTTGAGATAAATAAACCCTGTGATCCTAACATGGAGGCTGGAAAACTATGTCCTTTTTTAGTGCTGTAACAAAATGTCATGATAAAACAGGAACATTCTAGCCTTGATATATTCAGCAACATCGTGATAAAGAAATAATCCCCATTTCCTCCCTCAACTTTCAAAGGGTCCTGGGACACAAATGTCACCTTTCTATAGTAGAGTATAATTGATTCTATTTGTGGCTGCTTAGAAAGAGGTGGAGGAATATGGCAATAATCCAGGGATGACTTGAAATCAAACGGAAGTTCACATGAGGCTATGAATACCAACATGAAAGAGCAAAGCCCAAAGGATGCTATTTTTGAAGGCCAGATCTTGCGTGGACATTACATACTTGCAGTCCTCCTATTCAGAAGTAATCTTCGCGCTGGCACACAAGGACATGCTAATCATCTTTTTGATGAATGTCCCAAGAACTTGCGACTAGCCAAATAAAGCCAGCAACTGCGAGGAAGTAACTTAACAGATTTGGTATGCCCAAGAGACAAGGCTTTGAGTGATTCAGTCAATAACAGGAAGCATTGGATGTGTTCTGAATAAAACACTGGTCATGTCAGTAAAGGATACATTATATGATTAAAAATTCATCCTATATAAATCATCAGAAAGACACCATAGAAATAAAATCATTGATGTCACAGGTGGATAAGACCTCAGAGAACAAACTGGTTGATTGCTCTGCCAAAACACTGCCCCATAAAATATTCTGTACAGCTTTGTGGAATCTACCTTTAAATGTATCAGGCAGCTTGGATTTCTTCATTTACCAAAGGGAACAATTCACTTGCTTAGAAAAAATCTCATAGCTGGCTATATTGCCTTAATAACTGGCCTTTTTTCCCCCCCTTTTTTTCCCTTTCAAAGTACCATTTCATTACTATTTTCTACCAATTTTATCCATCATTCTCTTTTTATTAATTAATATCACTTAATTTAATAGACTCTTGTTTGCTCCCTTTTGTCTTTACCCCCTAAAGTCGCCCACCATTGTTCTGTCATTTCATTATTTCTCGTAAGTGACTATCACTGTGCCCTTTATATGACTTCTTTTACCTCTTTCTTTGCAACACCCTCAGTTGTTCCTTTCTGGAGTAGTATTGCCAAGAAGTAAGCACAATATTCCAAATACAGCTTCCACAGAACCATAAAGAAAGGAAATAGTATCTCATTATCTAGACATGATGCTTTCATATGGGTTTTCTGCATTGTTATATCCCACTGCAAAATCACATCTTATTTTTTAATATTACTCCAGGTGACTTGGAGTTACAGGATTTCCGTTGGAATTTTCCCTGAACTCTCTCTCATTGGTACTGTTTTGAGTCAAGTCTCATTTTGCTATATTCTGTCCATGTTTCACTTCTCTTTTCCTTTGTGCTTGCTTGGTTTCAATACTCTCTCCAATTTAATGTTATGGGCTAGCACAAGGATTAAATCAGCCAGTACCTCTTCTATATCTTTAGTGAAGATAATGCTGACTCTAATCCCTATAGATCTCCTCCTCTGAAGACAAAGTTTGTGTTATATTTGGGTCCTTAGGATGGCTTTTCTCCACGCAGCAATGGGTGAATCCAAGCCAATTACAATTTATTTCAAAAGTAGACTTTTCTATAATAGACATCCAGGTATTTTCTTAAGGTTTATATATCATAAGTCAATTTGATAGATTAAGGCTGTGATCTTCAGAGGTGAGGGAGAGAGGAAGGGAGATAAGAGAGTTAAGCCTTGAGCAAACATCAACTTTCAATGAGATTTCAGCAGCTCACTGCTAAAGGCTTTTTGAAAAACCCATTCAGATCAATTTGCCACTATTACAGACACAAGCAATGGGTGTGGAAACCCTGTCCGGGTACTGAAAACAGCCATTCCACCCAGAAACACATTAAAACCTACCCTCTGCAGAAGGAATTTATGCACTAGTGGGAGGTCTCCCAAAGGGGCTTCTGATGGATCCCATTGTCTCTGCCTGGTACACCTCCTCCACTCACTTACTCCAAGAAAGAAAGAGGAGATTCTGTATTTGTCCTTTTTGCCTTCTTTTGGCCTCCTTGCACCCCGTTTGTGCACAGTACCCTTAGCATACAGGAGAACCACCTCACTGCTTTTACATCTCTATGACATTTCACTCCAAGAAAGCACTCTCCTTTTCTCCTCTGAGTCTTCATTTAATTTACTTTAATCACAGGCTACAGCAAGTGTTTAGTGATCTGTGATTCCCATGATTATTCCCTTTTCTTCTTTAAGCTCAGTATTGTGTTTATTTATTGTTGCTCTCCTGGGCTGTTTCCAGTTTTCTGTGAGCATTCACTATTGATTGCTAATGGTGTGTTAACTTGGTGTATCGGTTCCCTTTATGCCCTACAATGTGCCTTGTCTGGATCTGCTGATTTGCATATGTTTCAGGCTTTCTAGACATTTCTCTACTTACATTTGTATTAATTCTAACAGACTCTCCTCCACACCCCCGCTTTTTATTGATCCCCTTGTTGGATTCTTTTTCTTAGGCAACTGAATTTTGATTAGTTACATCTCCCTCATCAATTGTTATTATGTCTCTAGCTCTTCTCTTTCCATTACTGAGTTCATGAAAACGTTCTTAACCCCTTTAACCTTCCTGGCAAAGAGTAACCTTTGCTTCTTTCCTACAAGCTTTCCTAATCTTTCCCTGCTCTCTCATATGTCTGGTTCCTTCTTTTTCTAGTCCCAGTTCAGACCCTCAAGCCTTTGTCTAAAGTTTTCTGAATCCATGTTTGCTGCCTCTTCTTCTTTGAAGGCTTTTCAGAAGAAATCCTGTCTGTTTTGTCTTGCATGTTCCTCATCTCCCTTTGACACTGATGGATTCTAATATTTTCTGAAAACTCCTCCTGATAAATAACTCTCGAGAATTCTTGATTCTTTAAGATGTTTTCCTTGTAGTCTATTATAGTTGCGCTGTATTGTGTTCTGTGAATTTCCTAACCTGTCTCTGCTAAATCCAGCTCTCTCACTGACAATGCTATCAAGCTGACGTTGTTCTCACAGTTTTCTTTGATTTCTGTCTATTGGTAAGAATGATATCCAACAAGGCTTCTTTTCTCATTGGAACCCCTATTTTCTACATCCTACAGCTGTATGTGATTTAGGACTATTTCGGTGATCTGTGTTTTGATGTCTTCATAACAGAACAGATAATGACTAAATGCATTCCCTAATGAACAGTATCAGAAAGTTCTGACTGTGCTAAAACTTGGTATGACATTTTTTCCACCATCATATATTGTTGGTAGTCTGTAGAAAATGGGCTCTGTACAACAGCTGCATTCTGAATATGGACTTTTTAGAAGCTTTATCCATGTCTTTGACCTGTGCTTTCTGTTCTGACTCTCTTTTTAAAAGGTTTCATCTCAATTGTTTGCAGTCCTTTCGAGTAGAGCATTAAAAATCCTAGCCAAGACTATGACCTTCTGGATGCTGCAGCTAATTGCAAACAAGTAGCTTCCATCCCTGCTTGCATGCATTGCTGGAATGTTCAATCTTGCCCATTTTACACCAGGTTCAGCATTTCTCTGAATTCAGCTATAAATTTTGCATTCACTGTGTATACTGGAAAACAGAGGGCCCATTTTCACATTAATAATAAATATATAAAGTTGTACCTATCCTCTAACTCCATCACCATCATCCTCATGAAAATAATATTTTATGTGTACGTGACATCTCTCATATAACTATCCAACAGGTTGTTTAAAAGCATGGATAAGTATTATTGTCCTCATTTTTTAAATTAAGATAATAGTATTGCAAGATAAAGCACAAAAAGATTTCTGTAGGTACTCAGAGAACAGAATAAGACAGTTAAGAAATAACCCACCTCTCCTGACTCCTGCTTAGAGCTATTTTGTGTTGATATGACCCATAGAAGATACCAGCTTTGGTGTTGCCCACTTATGCTGGATAGTGCCCTAATACACTAAGAAACAAACTGTGGGCAGGGCTGGGCAAATGTTAGATCTTTCACTTTAGTGGCCAAGCTGAGTAATCAAGTAAAATATAATTTTGGATTAACACAAAATAGAAATGTTTTATTTTGACTAGTAAATAAAATATGGAAAAAAACCCTGTTTTCTTCTAAAGAAAATGCTTTGATTCTGTTAAAAGAAAGGGCTACTTTTACTAGCAAATTCAGCCTCTAAAACAATTTTTTAAAATAATATATTCCCCAGAAATTTTTTACCCAGATCTACTTCAGAGTTCTTGCTCTAAATAGATAAGACAACCAATGCTTCAGGGAGCGGGAATATTCTTGTCCCCATTTTGTAGAGGAGGATTTGAGAAACACTGAGTTTAAACAACATGCCTGAGATGGTGGTGTCAAATATTTCAGGCAAGTGATAGAGCCTCTGAAAGGTTTTCAAAAGCCATGTGTCCCTCCTCCTATGTCACCTTGAGATCCGAAGTGTGTGACCAAAAGGTGAGGGGCCACATCATGTGGTGGGAACAGGTTAGGCCTGGGATGAGGCAGGTGGAGGAGCCCTCTCACATGCTTGTGCCTGTAGCATCGCGTGACCAGACCCTAGTGACAGAGGGACTTCTGCTCTTCTCGGAGCAGAAGCTGTGGCAGCAGGGAGCAGAGCATGGTCCTGACTGACAAGGTGCAGGTTTCACCCATCAGCTGTGGGTGAGGAGCCTCAGGAATGAGGCCACAGAGACAGGAACTCAACACAGGTCATCAGATTCATCCTTCAGCATTTCAGGAGCTAGGTCCCACTTCTGGCCCCACCCCCATCTGAAGGTACGAGCCTTCAGGGCGTACAAGCCTTAAAATCATGAGTGGTTCCGTCATTCCAAGCTTCCACCTACCATTAATATTCAATGGCTGTCCACTATCTTTCTACGGTTTGCTTCTCTCTCATTTTAAAAAGTAAGTTTTACCTGTTAACTTTTTTTGTTGTTCTGGTTGATGGGTCAACTGTTAGCTCACCACGGCGTAGGCAGAGCTGTCACTCGAAGAGTGGGCACCATGTGAAATGCATGGCGATGTCTCTGTTTTGGTGGCTTTAGCTGGGATATTGGTTAGTGGAAAAAAGCCTCAGCTACTTCCTTCGGGGAGATTGATCAATTTGTTTTCCTCGTCTTTGCTCTTGTTGACAACAAGCTTGATGAAATCAGTCTTTCTGAAGGCAGCACAGTGGATTTGACAAATCCTGCAGAACTGCTGGAGCAGATCCCTGAGTTTGCTGAGGAGCTGATGGAGCCTGAAGATTGCTTCCCCGAAGGTAAGGGCCTGCATATTTCCCTGCAATGTTGAGGCAAGAAACCTCTTCTCTTTGTGAACATCTCTCCATCTTCACACCACATTGCTCTGGCTGCTTGCAGTAGTATTTCACTGGATGCACTTCATTTCTTAGGTACTGTAACGCTCCAAACACATACTCAAAATCACTTGTTATCTTTAGTCTTTGGATTTCCAAGGTGAGATAAGCCAAAAGCATGCTCTAAAAGGCTATACAGCTTCTAAAGTGCTAGGCTTTTTTTCATCATAATTTGTGCCATAAAGGGTTTTTTTTTTCAATGTTGATTTTTCTAACTTGGCCAATGAGGATTTTTGCCTTCCAGTATGTGTGCATGACCAAATTTGGTAGACAACTGGTGTGTATAAGCAGTTAACGGAAACAGTCTAGAGAGTTCATGAATCCCAGTGACTCTCTTCCATTTATTTTAAAGGCTGTTAAGATTAGCATGTCCAGTAACTTTCATCTGACCAGGGATGTGCTGTGTAAAGGGTATTTTGCATCATTATTTTAGATAACAACAAATCACATTTACATCACTCTTTTAGTACTGAAATACTCCATCGTTTTATTTTTTTTTAACACCAGCCTGCTCCAAAACACACGTTTAAAATCCAGCTACATCAGAAGATCTATTTTAAAGTAAATCTATAAGGTAAATAACACCCAAAGTTATTTCTTCTCAGACTGAGTTCTATTCCAAATATTATCTCAGAAAGATTCCTCATTTTCCTTTAAAACTGGGTTAGGAAAAATAAGGTTAGTATATTCCCTTGAAAATTCAAGGATTATTATAAATAAAAACAGAGCTGCTGAGATGGGATCAGACAGAGATGATTTGCTGGGTATATGAATGCCCCTGAAGTCAGCAAAAATGTGCATCTCTATATCTGTGAGAAAGATGATTGAATGAGGTAAGGGAGCCCTGCAGGGCTTACAAATGTCCCCAGGATCTAAACATTTTCTTGGCAGCTCTGCTTAAAAGCAGTAGCCAAAAATTAATGCAGTTGACAGAAGAAAGCATGGTGTAACTATTCTGGCCCATACAATAATATTTAGAAATTAGATCTGGTGTTTTCATTCTTTCACAATATATTTCTTAATGAGGCTAGTGAGCAGCAATCTATGCTGTGCACTGCAAAGTGAGAAATTACATTATAATTGCTTGAACAAGCCAGTGATGTAAGACTGGTGCTAGTCAGATGCCAGTTTACAAATTCTGAAACTGTGGTTGGCCATGATCACCTTCCAGTTTTTAAAAGAAATAAGGCAGACATCACACAGCCTATCACTTCATTCAGTGCACAGCCCTGATTCATTCCCAGAGCAGTAGCACTCTGTAATTTGCACTGTCTTAAAATAACCAGAACTGCCTGAAACTCCATCGTGCAGGACCATGTCAATATCAACCCAGTTTGTCAGATCTTCTCCTCTGCTGTCAATGGGACGCAGGGCAGCAAGCGGTGCTCTTCTAGGTGGATCACGGGAAGCATTAAGCCAGTTTTGAAGCCCGCTCATCATCCTGGCAGCAAAGAAAAGTAGAAATGAAAGTGTTGTGGGCTAAACCACAAGCTTGCCCTGAGTTACATCAACCTTGCTGGCTCCTGCTCCCTTCCCACTGAGCACCCCTGCTGCTGTCTTTTGCCTTTTATTCCTCATCTTTCCTAGTTCCTCACCAGTCCCTGTACAAGTCAGGGTGTTTTCCTCTTCTCCCTGGGTATGGCCAGCTGAGCCTTGAGCTCTGAATGCAAATTGAAGGAGAACACGCTCCCAGCCCTTGGCCCAATGCAGGGTGTCCAGGGTCATTTGGGATCCAGTTGCAGGTGATGTCCTCCCCAACATACTTGCTCTGCTTTCCTGTGTAGCACATATCCATACAGATTTTTCAGAGGCTACTGTGTAGGCTAGATGTGATCATATTCTTCATGGATTTGGCAAAAATGTGTAAACTTCACATGTGAATGTTGCTCATAAAATTTCAAGTCAAAGTGCCATAAACTGAAAGTCCAAACAACTCTTACTGCAATGACATTAACATTTGTTTTTATTTATGCAGGGAAACAAAGTGTTTTCCTATAATCTTCTTCTATTAAATACCTTCCAATATTTTTACCCAAACTTACCATTACAATTAAACCTCATGCAGCTATCATTTCAGTCTTGCTGAAAAACAAGCAAGCCAACAAACGACAGTCTAGTTAGCTAAGATATGACAAGTTATAAAGTACTAAAATGGAAGTATTTAAGGGCATGCACTGGGCAAGTTTATCAAGTATTGTCTTTACTGGCTTGTAATAAAGAGATACAACAGTATTTGATATATCTGGGAGAATGACCAGCTAATATTTGTGGAAGAACGAGATTAGGTGAGATGATGAGGAAGAGCAAGTGTGGAAGTGTTAAGTTCTTACCTTGTTAGCTCACCAGCTATCTAAATTCAAACTATGACATTTCTAAACAAATCCAGCATAGGTTATGTCCTGAACAAATATGTTCCCAATTCAGCCCCCTTTTTCAGATAACAGAGGCAACAAAGATAATGCATGTTCTTGAAATAGTTGCTGAAAGTTTGCTTGAGGTCACAGTTTTCCGGGAGTTGGGTGACCCAGATAAGCCATAGGTCGTTTTTCTTGGGGAGACTTGTTAATTCATTATCATCTCAAAATAGCTTTGATTAGGGTCAATGGGGAATATTCTTGGGTCAGGAAATGTGAAGCCAAGGTAGGGTCACAGCTCTGGCAGCTAGTAGGTATTGCTGGGAAAAACCTGATAGAAATGGAGAGATCATTCTTGTTGCTAGTTGATGGGAAAGCAACTTCTAGGCAATGCCAGCTATTTGGGTATTTTTTCCTCCAGATGCCTTGCAACACTCCAGTCCTGTTACCTCCATTGGTATGTGTTCTCTGCATCAAAAATTGCTATCTGTTTGGACATTCTCTTCTGTGTCTCACAGAAGGTCGTCCAAAGAGATCCCCCTGGCCCCAGCACGCTCCTCTCTCCAAGACCCTAATAGGAGAATGTTTTCACCAAGTCCTCAAGTGTAATTCCCCGGACACAGCCCGCTGGCAAAGGTTTCAAAGGAGTATCATCAGATGATCATGCGAGAATGAGCTACCTTGCTCAATGCGCAGTTGATTGCAACTCGTGACACCGAGGACGCCCGCAGCCCGTTTTTCATGTGACCGTGCAGGAGCAATTATCGCAGCTGGAAATGCCATGCACTACAGTGAACTTACGCTGATTAATGGTGGGATCTGTGTCACGCCCTCCCCAACCACAGTTAGCGGTCATTTAGAAATAAAAAAGCAAAGAGGATATCAAACAGACCATTAAACTGAACAAATTTAAACTGAGCTAAGGGGACTGCAACCAGATGATGTTTAAAAGCTAAGTAACACCAAACCAAGCCCAATGAAACATGTCAACTGTCATCCTAGGCAAAAAAAATCACAGAACAGAAACAAGTTTTAAGGTATCTTTTTCCTCTAGCCGTAATATCGGAAATACGGTGGTTTTTTTCCATCAGGAAGGGCATGCTATTATTTTGTTGTATACAGTTTTCTGACATTATCAAACTCTTACAGCCCTATTACATGTTACAAGATTAAATTAATTCAAGTTGGACAGGACCTCTAGATATCAACTCATCCACCCCCTCGTTCAAAGCAGGGTTGACATTGGTGGTGGACCAGGCTGCCCACCGCCTTTGCTTCAAGACATCACTTTGTTATTTGTAGTGACCTCCAAGAGGATATGTTTTGAGGAGAGTAACAGCAGATAAACAAGAAATGTACCCTTGTAAAGCCCTTGGAAGAGTAAAAATACCTGGCAGACTGTGGCTTTGTCAGAAGCTCTCTTGGCAGCACCCGGTTGTAGTACATGAGAAAAGACTCAAATCTCCATGTGTGTCTCAGGTACTTGAATGCTGGGGACAGTGATGGCAAATCTGTGTTATCCCTAGAGCTAAAAACCCAGCTATGCACACCAGTGGGTTAGGGGGGGCAGAAGATGAGAAGCAGGTTAAATAAGGAGGGTCTGCAGGGATGGTGTTCCCTCCACGCATGGGGAGACAGCTGAGGGCTTCTGAAGGGACAGTACAACCGAACTCGCTTTCTTGCCTGAGCATACACAGCTAGCCAGACTGGTCAATAAAAGCCCAACTTGGCAGACATATATATATTAAAACCATGTTATGAATACCTGCCTGCTGGGGTTTATGCTGAGGAAGCTGTATTTTCTTTGTGTCAAACCAAGCAATGTTGTAACTAGCATTCAAAGCTAAGTAAAATATTGTTTTGTTCTAAAAATGAATGTCCCAATAATTGGGAGCTCCTGTGTAAAAGTAGCTACAAAATTACTGCAGTTTGAGCACAAGGTACCAGACTTACTGGACCACAGTACAGAAGAAATTAATTGGTCTTCCTGGTTTATTGGAGATAAACAGCAGCACAATTAATCTAAAACATATTTAATAATTTTATGTAAATTTAAATGTATATATTGGTGTGAACAAGCAGTGGATTTCTAAACTCCTTGCTCATAAGCTTGAAATCAATATGCTTGGCTGCCATGCATGCAGGAGGAATACTTTGCAGTATAGCTCCCACATTTACAAAGAAATTTTTTTCCAAATGCACCAAGGTAATGCAGTCAGGTCTAACAACTCCATGATTATAATGCACCAGGCTAGAAAATGTGAATGTGGAACCAAATGAATATTGACACAAAATGCATTGTATATTAAATTCCTCCTGCCTTTTTTTTTTTTTTTTTGGTAACTCGTTTTTCTTTTGGTAACTCGTTTATCATTGTGGTAGATGCTTAAGTAAGAGCTTTCTCTGTCATGCATGCAGTGGAGACTGTGGTTTAGGACACATTTTAAACTACAGTTTGTGATTGTGCCATAAGGCATCCCAGTGACTGAAGGGAACAATTCCCTTGATATGAAAAACCAACAGAAAGTAAACAGTATCATGGTATAATGGTGCATTTGGAAAGGCTTCTTGGTAAATAGGCCTCTGTTTTGAGAGAAATGGTATGTAATATTCAAGTATGAATTGAAAACAAATGTTGTCCTTGGACAAGTTGACCACTAATGCAGTTCAGTACAGCTTCACTGATTTACCAGCAAAAAACTCGGCCCTTTGTGGGGGACTTTTTCTGCTGTTCTGTGTTTTTGTTGAACAGTAACCTACTACCCAAAAGGCCATGGTGGAAATGAGCCAGTTTGCTCTCAGGAAAGATGCAGCCCAAGCTGAATTAGGGTGGCAAAACTAAGTCCTGACTAAATCACAAGGTAGTCAGCTTCTTCTGCACAAGCCGTTCCTACTAGCATTGATTTCAGGGGGATAGCACAAATCTATTAGACAAGGCAATATGAGTAATGCTGTTATAAGAAATGCCAAAGGGTTGATTCCTGCTTTGACACTTGCTGTGCTAAAAGATGTTAATGAATAGTCTTCTTTGTGTGGATAAAGTAGCTTTCAAAATCTGAAGTTGGGCTCTGCTGACCACCTGCCTTGTTGTAGAAGCCAGCTGGGGTTATCATTGCTCAGACCCTCACCAGGTCATGCCTTAGACACATTGGAATGTTTTTGATATTTTGATTTCACAGAAATGGGGGAAAAAAAGAAGTATTAGAATGCACCAAGGTCAGGTAAACTTTTTTGTTGGGTTATGTGAAGCTTCTAATTCAGCATTTAAGTTTCAGTCAAGGTCACCAGAAGAGTAGGCTACCAGCATTACGAGAAAGTCCAGAAAAGCACAGGCATGAAATAACAGTCAGTGAGGGAAAATGGAAAATTTGAAATGGAAATAGAACTTTGCTAATTCATTAAAAGACTTATTTGTGAAAAGACAGTTTTCTTTTTCTCTTTCAGTTTTCTTTTTTTCTGCTTGATTCATGAATAGTTAAAAATAGCATTTCATCTGAATTACAGCCAGCATGATTATTCATGGAAGTGCTGCTTGACATTAGTAATTGTATCAGAATCTGGTCTAAACATTTCTGAATTGGGCCCAATCAAAAGCATGGGATTTAATAGCGCTGTGATTTTGGGCTGACTCATCTGAGAAGCTATTTTTGATTTTTCAAGGTATTACTGTCAGTAACTAGGACTTTTTTTTCAGATCAGAATTACATGAAAGCCATCAAAGAGCATTAAAAAAAAAAAAAAAGATTAGTGGTCCTAGATGGCTTTCTGTCTTTAAAAATACCTCTCTGTACCTGTAGATTATCAGATGGAAGCTGACTGAATCAGCAATAGCCTGGTTTTACTGTTTTGTAAGTATTTTCCATCACAAATGAAGTAACTTTGGAATTTATGGTGCCCTGCTCATTAGTATTTAATTTGAAGGTGATCCCCTAATTTTAGCTGTGCCAGGGCTCAGGTAATCATGTAGGCTCCCTGTGTAGCGGAAAGACAGAGGCAGACTCCTCCAGGGAATGATTCATCTGACTGTCTTACAGTGGGGAAAGCCCCTTCCTGGAAGATCCTAACCTTTTCCAATGGTAATTACAGAGCATTTCTTCTCTGTAAGAGCATGGCAGAGCATGTCATGCCTGTTCCTAGCTAAGCCTAGGCATTCGTCTGAGACTAAAAAGCCAAGTATCCATCTAGGAAGTAACTTAGGAGGAAAGAGAGGAAAGTTTCTGGACAAATGTTTTAAGTCAGAAAAAAAGCTGATTTTTTTCCAAATTGAAACTGTTTGTGGGAACAAGATGGGCTCGTGGAAAATTTATTCTGCTAGAAGCAATGGTTACTTACAGCACAAAGGAGGATTTCTGCTTAACATGAGAAATCCACACTTATGTAGTGAACAACCTGCTCATTAGGCTGTTCACTTGACAAATGAAGGATCTGATCCCAAGCCTTTGGTCTTCCTGATTCAAAGCGGAGTTGACAATGAGGTGGCCAGTGTACCTGCATAACAGCGCAGAGTGTGGACCAGACACCTGAAAGCTGGTGATGTCCATACAAGTTGTGGGGTAAGAACCAGCGTAAGAGTTTCCTGGCAGCACTGCTAAGAGATGCAACTAATAGCCCCCGCTGTCGTGCCATGCTGGTGGGATTGTACTGCATGGGCATCTCTAAGCAGAGGTGCCATGTGAGTATGTTAGCTCAGTGATCCTGGTACCATGCAGTATTGCATGCCTGAAGTCTGTTCCATGTCCCTACTTCCTAAAATATACCCAAATCACACCCATTACCGTCTCTGAGCACTGTACTGGTTTTAGCAAAAAGTAGTGACTAACATGATATCCTTTTATCCTTTGACATGCTTCTTTGGTGTTCAACATTGAAGTGCTTAGAGGGATAAAAGTTTCCTTTGTTGAAGTGCTACCTGACCTACAAAGAGGTGGAGAGCTGGTTCTTACACTTACGTCTTCTCCTAGCATTATGTTCTTCTCAAATAGTTTGATTAAATGTGTAGTTCAACCGAGCCCAGAATTTTTCTGAATTCCAGAATACAGTGGTAAACTGAGAACTGGTGTGTGTCTGTGTGACAGAGGCATTTAGAGGACAGATAGTTACTTGCATCACTGTCCCATTACTTTTGCATAAATGGTTTACTGTCCTGTTAGTCCCATACCAAATACTCATACATCGAAGAGCCTACAGCTACCAAACATCTCAGAAATGTGAGGGAAAGGGGAGATCTGGGAGTGGTTCATGTATGAAATGTCCTACAGTTCTGCTGCTCCATAGCAGGGATCTGGGCTAATAAAAACTTGCAGAAAATGCCAGGAGGACCACAGCAGACTTAGCAGCTCCCCTCCTCCTGGCAGAGCCTGCTGCCAGCAGAGCCTCACTTCCAGCTGCTTGGGAATCACAGCATCCCGGGAGTTGCACTTGATCTCCTCGCATATCACATGCTGCTCAAGCGCCTCTGTTATGCCACCTTGAATTAGCGGCATCTGCTGCCTGTGTAACCTTGGCACTCACCCTCTGTTCTTCCCCAGCTTCCTTGACTAAATATTATTTCTACTTGCAATAACATTGCATTACATCACCATAGTGCGATGTCCTCTCTTGTCACTTCTGAGCAGTTGTTGTATGCTTCAAGATGTGTTAGTGACCTTGGCCACCTGTCAGCTATGGAAGCAGTTGGCCTGTGGGTTTTTTTTTCCTCATGATGGGACTGATAAAGCTCCATAGCTGTCTCTTTCTATACAACACATGGATTTAATGTAGGGTAAAAAGCTTGCTTTTTGAAAATGAAGTAGTTTCTGAGGGTCATTCTCATCAGCAAATGTTGTGAAATTTGAGTCCAGTTGTCTGACATGAGGCTGAATGGCCAGCCTGGAAAAGGACAAGTCCTGGCTACCAGGGTGTCCTCTCACACAATTTTAAGTTCTTACCCAGCACAAGGCAATGCATGTGGTGTTTTTTAAAATGGGAGAGATGGACCTGTCCATTACCGATGACAATATCCTTTTGTTATAACAAATGAATGTTGCTAAGGAAACTGAAAATGGCCATGGTTTTGCCTGTCAGAAATCCTTGTGGGTTCCCCATTACGACCGCAGCATTTAACTACCACACAGTATTTGTCACTAAGGTCAGAAAGTGCTATGAAACATCAGTGGAGAACCTGCTGTGGACTAAATTTCTGCTGACATCAAAGGGATTTAACCACCTAAATATATTTCCAAAGTCATTCTAATGCCTTGTTTAAGCTCATGAGAGTCCAAGAGATCAAAATCTGTTCCTGCTTTTGCTGTCTGAGTCTCTTCAGCACATTGGTCCCATCTGCGCTGTAGCACTTCCTCCCGTCATCTCCCTTTCATCAGATTGCCACTTTTAATCAGGAATTCTAGTGGTGTCATAGTACCAAGAAAATATCCTTCCTCCATTCAAAAGGATGTGGAAACTATTGGTAATACACTGTCTAGAGTCATTAGTCCTGATCAGGGGTGCTGCCTGAGCTCAGCTAACACAATATGATCAACCTAGGGCATGAGTGACTCATGGCCAATATATTCTGTATCATAAAAATTATTGGGAGAAACCACGGGCTACATTTTAAGTGATTTTGAATTTTTTTTAATAGAGGAGGGGAAACAGAAGGCAGAGCAGAAGAGTTAGGCAAAGAAAACAAGGGAGGAAAGACTCCATGCAGCAGCTTATTGCTAGAAGAAATCTTGTTTAGCAGCTCCTTATTGCAGCTTTAAGAATTAAATAGGCTTTTTTAACAATTGCTTTGTTTGCATTTTTCTTCTTTGCAGTTTGTGTGCGATTCTTCCCATGCTGTTTAGTGGACATCACAAAATTTCCAGGCAAAATTTGGTGGAGGCTGCGGAAAACCTGCTACAGAATCGTCGAACACAACTGGTTTGAAACTTTCATCATATTCATGATCCTGCTGAGCAGTGGAGCCCTGGTAAATGTAACAGCATTTCCTAGCTGCTTGATGGTGGACGTGGGTCTCAGAGAAGCTGTTCTCCAGTTAGCTGTCTCTAGGATCTTATGTGCCCTAACTGCTCACTTCTCAAAGCAAAGCATGTTTGGGGCTAAAACAGGTCTTCGGCTTTTCTGATTTCACCTGCCTTTACCATACGGGGGGAGGGGAGAACTTTCTTCTCTTCTAACATAAAGTTGTGATGTGCACACGTTTTGAAAAGCAAATCCTTAAGGAAGTCTGTGTGAGGAAGTATCTCAGAGTTACTACTTCAGCATCCAATGACTGCTTCATGGTAGTTCCCATCTGGAGGCTTGTATTTTGCTCCAGGGATGGGTTTTTTTTTTTTCCGTTCTTATTTTTTAGCACAATTTGTAGCCACAAAGCAAAGCCATAAAAGATGCAGGGGGCACTGAATCAGTGCTACACATGGAACTAGTGGGTGCCTGTCATGTTTTGAATACACCTTAGCTTAAACTGTTGTACCTTCCCTGCACAGATAGCTCCTGCGTACATCTGAATGTATATGTATATATGGAGGCTGACTGGTCATTGCCCACAGCTCTCATAAAGGATCCTCTCCTCCTGAGATCCTACCATGTACTGGGGTTATCCTCTCTATATTATCAGCCCTGGGTTCTTTGTAGTGAAGGCAGCTTATATTTGTGTCGCTCATTTACATGTCAGGAATGTCACTGAAGTTGGTGGGATTTCTCTCATGTTTTTATCTGGGCATAGAGCAAAGGGGTGTATCAAGAGTTCTCCAGGCTTTGGTCTGGTGGTCACTGATCTTCTTCCTGACGGAGTAAGAAATACACCTACTAAATTTGTAGGCAATGCCATGTTTAGACAGGTTACCAGTGTTTTTCTGGATGTCAGGATTAACTTCAGCCAAATGGATGAATCTGCCTTAAATAGTAAGAGGAACATCATCTTAGAAAGGTGCTTGCTTCACCTCATCAGGAATAACCATGGGCAGAAAGGCATGATGCAGGATGACTGCTAAGGTAGCAGATTTACTAAAAAGAGCTGGAGAGAGAACAGGCAACAAACAGGATAGAGTAAACTACATCACAGCACCGCACAAAAGCCAAACACCCCACTGGGCTGTATAAATAAGTGTGTTCTTCCACTCCAGTTGGCATCAAGGAGGCCTCAGCTGGAGCACTGGCTTCAGCTCTGGGCGTTGCACTTTGGGAAAGACATGGGCTAATTGAAGAAACTCCAGAGGAGAGCAACACAAATTGTCAGTGGCCTAAAAAAAAGAGGAAAACACAGAAGTACTGGGTTTATGTAGTTTAAAGAAAGTCTCTGCAGGGAAGCAAGGTGGAAATACATAAATGTTGATGCAAAAAGGAAAGGAATGGACTGTTCTCTGGGTCCACCAGGGATGGGCTGAAATTTCACCAAGGGGTTTTTATTTTATTATGAAACGTAAGAGGCTGAAAAACTTGGGTAAATAGTAGGCTGCTGCAAATTGTCATAGCTTTGCTGAAATCAATGGAGTCTGACAGTTTTTGCACCAGCTTGAGAATCAGCATGTTCATTTTTTAACACATTTTAAAGGGGGCATGTCGCTTGCTATAATACACTTTAGATGAATACACTTCCTTACATATGTAATTAAAAGTGCCTTAGATACTGAACACTGCAATATAAATCTCATTTAATTTTTATTGCATGCGTTCATTTACTTTTTGTGACTTTCAATTTAGCCAGTGCAATTCTGTATAAGGGTAAATTATGCTGCATTTTCTCACATGTCAGCACTATGCTTCACTATTTGGACTGGAGATGTTGGAGGCAACATACAACTTTTTTTTTTTTCTGTTATTCTGGGGTGAGCTCTTCCAAAAACTGAGCTCATCTGGCTACACCCCTGGACATGCTAAGTTCTTAAGGGAGTTTAAAAGGCAGTACATATTTGTGTGTGGTAGTTAAACCATCAGAATATATCTATAGCTTATTGCAGAAGATCCAAAACCTCTTCTTATGCATTTAAGCCATAAGCACCCAAATGGGGAGCCTGTGTTTTAATAGTAATTGTGATACTGCAGGTATCCTGTTTATCTCTTTTTTAACACATGAAGTAAAGCAGAAGAAATAACCCTTAATGACGTTTTCTATCACAAAGGTTTTCTATCGCAAAGGTTTTATATCGCAAAGGTTTTATATCGCAAAGGTTTTATCTGTTGTCACCGTGAAAAAATGCAAAGCACCAGAATTTTGTCATTTGGGTAATATCTGTAGCTCATGCAGAAGTACAGTGCACCTGGTGCATTCAGGTAGCATGTTTTTCATTCCTTATTAAGTTGCTTCCTGACTCACAGTGTGCTTTTAGTAGACAAAACACAATGTACTTTTTGACAAGTTAGTAGAAAATAGGGAGAGCAAAAGAGGGAGAGGAGGAAATCACTTTAAATAGTTTGTTGTTATTTTTGCAGTAATTGCAAAGTACAGCAAGTCATCTGACAAAGTGAGTGAGCCCTTACAAGAAGTGATAAACTCCAATCTCTCTGTGTATTGTTTTCTGTGGCTTTCTCTAACAGCTCTTTCACACCCTTGAAATATCATTTTTGAAGGCAAGATAGGAGACCGAGTTGCAGTGAAAACGTCACCCCAATGTGTGGGGACAAAATGGACAAGCTTTGGCACAGGCTGCCAAAGGTTTCTTGTCAGTTTAATTACTGTTCCCTGGCAGGCAAAAGAGCAGTGTGACTGCTTGAGTGACAAGTAACACACTTCTTGTATCTCCAGGCCCTGGGTGTTTGTTAACTTTTTGAAGTTCCTCGGAAAGTAGCTACAGATCTTGAAATATGTAAATGCAGATAATTAAGATGATTAGCACAGACCCTCTCAAATAACGTTGTTTCTTGCTGCCAAGTGCTCTGGGTCACATGATGGGATGAGAGTAATATATCAAAGCTTGGATTATGCAGGTTACAGGGACATGGGAGCAGCTTGTGTAATGACAGTCGCTAGAGTAGCTGGGGAAGCAGACCGTAACCACTGCTTGACTTCAAAGCCCCCAAACGGGCCATAGATATGCAACCCTGACACTAGGATCCTGCATTTTATTTGATGTACATTATAAAGTGAAAGCTAAATTATAAGACAACCTCATTTGTTTTATTTTAGCAGGCTTATTGGTTTATATCTTAAATATTTTAAAGGGGTTATTAAGTTGCTTGTATTTGATACAGATATTGAAAGTCCTTTGATGATGCCCTGCATAAGATTAGTTAGAGAGACAGATGAGATGGGTAGATAGATACCCTGACCTTTAAAACATAATTGTTCTGTTAAGTGAATAATAATGAGCATTTCTCGAGGCAGATAGTTGTAGCTACCTGAAATGTGATGGCTGAACAGAAGCCAGGGAACTCCGCTACTCTATAACACAGGCGGGTTAATAACCCAGTTTGTCATCATTAGCCATGAGATGTATTTGACTAAATGTAAAGGTTGGATTCTGCCTCCTAAAGACAGGCATCCTATGCCCTGCGACATCTGAGGTGCCCCAATAGCAGTGGCACACCCAACGGGAGCTGAGGCAGGATACCCTCGGGCAGCTGGGGGTGGCACCCTGCTCATAGACTCACATTCCCAAATTTAGGGTGCTTAAACTCTTCTTACACTCAAAGGATGTCTAGCCAGCACAACCGGTAGAGGCTGGAGGGAGATAACTAAGCATGTGTCCATTGTAAGAGAAAGCTGAACAAATCTCTTTTAGGTTAGCGTCAGCCCTATTTGTGCCTGTGCACTCTTTCTGATAGTAACATTAAAATATATCAGAAATCACAGATAGTACACGATATCCCATCAAATAATACTACATACTTGCAATGCAGCACCAATGTTTTCCAACACAGCTTAGGAGAAGTCTTTAATCAATCTTTTGTACTTCCAGGCTTTTGAAGATATTTACCTTGAAGATCGAAAAAACATAAAAACCATGCTGGAATATGCTGACAGGATATTCACTTACATCTTTGTCTTGGAAATGCTCCTGAAATGGGTGGCTTATGGCTTCAAGAAGTATTTCACCAATGCCTGGTGCTGGCTTGACTTCCTTATTGTAGATGTAAGTATCATTTTGGACCGACGATGCTTCTTGTGTTGAAGCATTTATAACGCATAAGAACGGGCTGTTAAGTCTGGCAGCTTTGCCTTTGCAAAATGACAGCTGTCACTCTGATTCTGAGTAACAACCCTAGGCAAAGCTTGAAAGAGGTCTTGATATGTAACCATGCATCCCCAGGAATCAGCGTGCCAGAGCAGAGAAGACTGCTTTGTAGCGTTACATAGAGGTGTCACCCTGCTAATTTGAGTCACATTCCCTTCTCGTCCCTAGGAACTCGCTCTTTCTTTTAGCATTTAACAACTCATTCCACACTCTCGGCTAGCACAAGGTCTGGTTACCTCCGACTGCTCCGTGCATGACCTCGACACACAAGTCTTTCAGCAGATTAGAGAAGCTGTCCTTGGCGTAGTTTCCCGGCGAGGCTGCCAGCGGCGCGTAACAGTATGTTCAGTACCGTCTCCCAAGTATTTACCAGTGAAGGAGTCCAGAAGAAGGTGTGAATATTTCTCTTGTCAAAGTGATTTCACTATTACAAAGCCTTACAAAATACTCCAAATCCTTGAAATATCACAGTGCTTAGTTCTTCTATGAGGATAGTCCTTAAAAGTGAGTAATAGTTGAACAAAAGGGAGCTCATGCCCCAGGAGTGTCACTAGTACCAGGCACGTCCCCTCCGAAGTTTCACGTTGCCTGGATGTGGGTTCTGCCAAACTCAGGACAAGCCAGCAACACCACATCCTCCAGATGAGGGTTAACATTTCATCACAGCATATCAATTAGGAGGCAATTATCTCCCTGAGGCCATTTCTTATTAGCTTGAGGTATTAATGTGGAAGGTTGGCAGAGCTCTGACATGACTGTGTAACTTATTAAACTTTTGATAAATTATTTTTCCCCATTTTACACCTGAACCTTGACTCAGGGGAGACCTGCACTTTCTTTGGCGTCAGTCCAGGAAAGCACTTCAATGGGACAATTTACTTGTTTGAAGTTATGGACATGTCTAAGTGCACTGCTGGATCAGAGCCTTTGGAAGCTCCTCCAGAGCTCTAATAAATTGATTTATGAAAAGGAAGTTCTTTACATAAATTGTAGGTCATAAATTCCTCTTTGCATACATGCTTGGAAACCTCTTAAAGGGAAGGCACTTGTTTTTCACAGATTACCTTCAATAGAAGAGGAAGGCCTGGTGTAATTATCTAACCACAAAATTGGAAACCACCGATTCCTAAGTTGTAGCCCAACCCTGAAAACCCTGCTCACTGTGGTTTAGGTCGAGTGACATAGCTTTTCTTTGCTGGTTTCTCCATCTGTAAAATGGGACCAGTAAGACTCACCTGAAGTATTATATGGGCTTCCAGGAATTTGTTATTGGAGTTATTGTTTTAATGAACTTCTGAAGACTAGAAGGGCTGGATGAGGGCTGAATATTGACACAACTATAAGTAGGGGTCTTCCTGATAGGAACAATTTCAAAGTTCACGGAAATATTTTGTCACTCTGCTGCATCATTAACAGTATGAAATGAGTTCCACGCTTGTTGGAAATACATACGTTATAGCATTATGTCTAATTAATACCAAAGAGAGTAAACCAGAAACTAAGCTAAATCCTGTCCTCCATGCAAAAAGCCCCCTTGGAACAGGAGCTACACAAGAATGCAAAGTCAGCATGTAACCCAAAAATTTAGGCACATGTTTGCTTTTTAAGTGTGGGGTTTGTGAGTATAACGACATACTACAGAAGCAGCCACAGATGGGCTGGGGAGAGGGGCTTCACCTCCCCTGCCACACATCCGAGCACTTAGGACATAAAAGAGTGCAATGGGGGAAAGGGGACCACAGGCCCCTGACACTCCCGTCATCCCCAGAAAATCCACTGCAGAGCCTTCATACTGATCTAGAGGTTTTTATTTTCTTAACCCACATTTAACTGTTGTTTTTGCAGGCTCCCAATCTAGCCAAAAAGTTGCCCCACCTTTGAGTTGTTTTAGTTATCAATTGACTCTAGGAAATTGTTTGCCCTTTAGTGTTCTCAATGAGCAAAGCTTTTGCCCATGCTCCATTCTTTCTTCAAAGTAATTTCCCAATGAGGATTATGAGAACCTGGTACTATATTTTTAGTGGATTTAACAGATGCTTTTCTCCTACCCTATTGCTCACACACCCTGTCACTCTGAATTGGCAGAGTAACATGCTATTATTTTTCCAGCACACTTTTTACTTCAATTTACATTTTCTTTTTGATCTTTTGAGAACCAAATCACTGCAACTGAGCTGCAGAAGGGAGTGAATGAGTGAATTAGCTGCTCTAAAAGAAGCAGATGAACTACTTGTCTGATTTTCTCAAATTTATTTCTTTAAAATTATTCACTTAAAAATTCCTGATCTGCAAATTATTCATTAGCAGTTTGGTATCGGTATTCAAAATTCAAGCTGCGATGGTTGATTTTTCATTGGACATGTGAAACCATCTATCATCTGTGTTTTCTCATTGTACAAATGCAACTCAGAATCCTTCTTCTGTTGTGAATAATTCATAAAACCAGCTCAAAATTTGCAAGTATTCACTATTTCTAAACGGGAAGTGAACCCAGAGGGTGTATAAGCATATTGCTGCTGAATTTTTTTTTTTTTAACTTACCCTGCCTTGTGACCTTTGACCCTGATTTGAGCCTGTGGAACAGCAAAGGGTCCATCTCACAACTGTGGATTACTAAAGAAAATTCTGTCTTGCAAAGCCTGAACGTCAAAACACACAGTAATCCACAAACTGAGAGCTATTTTTGCTACATGTAGAATCCCTAAAGGATGATTTCTGATAATGGGCTTCTCTGCATCTCAAAGAAGTGTGCTAGTGTAGCAAAACTGTAAGAGAGTGCTTTTAAATACAATAAAGTCCTATCAATAATGCTGCAACAGATTTCTTTGGGAGAAAGGGAGAAAGAAGTAATCAAACCACAGAATACAGGCTCATTTCAACTTAGAGCACCTGGGAAAGATGCCTTAGATGTCTGCTGAAATTTGGATATACTGAACAAAAAGCATTAATGTATATCTGTACATGTTACCTCCCTGCAAATAGCAAGTATACTGCTAAAAGTAACACTCTTCTACACTGCAAATATAGCTTCTCTATGCACATGAATTGGAGTGATGGCCACTCAGTCCACAGCTCTTTTTAAATGAGGGAAAATCAGAGACCGTAGTATATCTGAGGTGTGGACAGACATCAATATCACCATCAGGAATGGTGTTTGTGCACAATCCTCTTTGCTAGGATGCACAGGCAAATATTTTCACAAAGAATAGATATTTTCCAAGCATGCATGCAATCAAAACCTCTTCATATGAAGCAGATTAAACAAGGAGTCTGAACTTGGCCAGAGACAGAGGCACATGGCATTCAAAATGAATGTTTGTGAAAACTGCTTTCAACCAGGCATGTCCTGCGACAGGCAGACGGTTGGGTTTTAAAACAAGGGGCAGATAAACTCCACTGGTTGTGCACCCTGGTGTGATGTTTGATGTTCCTTTCAATTGTTTCCTCTGACCTATAAATATTATCTTGAGCTTATCTAGTTTGAGCTTCAGCCAATTAATTCTGAGCTAAGTCCCAGTCTCTGCTGACCGGGGATGGATTATTCCGTTGCAGTGGTCAGTTTGGGAAAGGCATCAGTCTGGAGCTTAGCATCGTTCAAAGGCAGGAGGTGTTGCAGTCAACAGCTTTTTCGCTTGATGATCATGCATTGAAGGCAGCGGGAGAGACCGGTACCCTACAGAAGCTGTCACAAGAAAGCTCTCAGGAAAGGGATATAAAGTCCCTAACTTGTTAGTAAGAATGCTCAGAAAAGAAGTCACAGCCAGGTTTCATTGCCTGTGGCATATACAGAAAAATCCTCTTAAACAGGCACTAATGTCATCTCTCTACAAAAGTCCATTATCACAAATCCATCATCTCCATTGAGGCTTTTGGGTTTGATTTATTCGACCAAAAGTTAGTCCCAATCCAGGCTTAAAAAAACCTGATTGTCATTTACTGATTTCAGAGATGAGGGAAGGTGAGGGTTTCTCCACCAATTCTTTCTAAGATGATCCCATCTTTCAAGATTTGATACTTGGGAAAGCTAATTTGTTAAGCAATTGCTTTTTTAAAGATGCTGGAAGCCTCCTTCCTCTTCAGTCATCTCCAGCAATGGGCCTTAACGTGACATCCTGCAGTGGGGATGGGAAGATCATCTCTAGTTCTCAATTTTTGCCCTGATGCCCCACCAGTTTCTCTCCAGCTGAGTCACCATGGAGAAAGATTGCTCCTTCCATCCCTTTTCCCAGAGAGCCTACTCTGCCTCCGTGGAGGCAGGAACTCCCAACAGCTTTAAGCAGTTTATCTGTCTGCAAAATAATTCAAGCAAGGCTCAGCAATGGATTTTGAGGCCAGACATCTCAAATTAGTTATTCAACAAGTCCACTAGGCAGGATTTTGTAGATGCTTTTATGCAAGTAAAATAATATGTACGTTTCCCCCCTGCATTTTGTGAATGGTTATAACACAACACGTTTCTGCTGTTTGCCTGGAGCTGCTGAGTTTGTACCTAGAGATCTGTATTCCCCATTGAGCAGCTTTCCAAATTTCCTGTTTGCTGCCAAATTTCCTGTTTGCTTGTTTGAGAACTGCTGATGGATGTTCAGACATTAAATGCACCATCGTTTTCACTGAATGCTTAAAAAAATACAGATATTACATTTTCCAAGATAGTTTCCTGGAAAGCTCTAAGATTTCTAGTTAGGATACTTCACTGCCAGATGAGTTAAAAAGCAGCTAATAATCTCTGAGTTTGAGATGAACAATTTAAAACTGTCTGTCTATCCCTAGTTAAAAATTGAATTGAATTAAATTATGCCCTTGTGTTGGATTGTCTTTAAGTGACAATTAAAAACTTGCTGTGTGAAGTAAATATTGATGGCTTCTGATTACTTTAATTGTTTTTTCCATCTGTATTC